AAGAGCGTGCCTTTGAATAATATGTCCTATGTGATAGATTCTTCAGAATATATGGACTCTGTAAACTGAGTATTATATATGACAGTACGCTTTTCCCACAGCAAGTTGAAAAGGTAACTGTGATCAGCACTGAGAATTAATTATACCATCTAGCTTCTCCAGGTGGAAGAGCCTAAGCTCTGAGCTCTGCGATACTGGGAGGACAGAGTACTAGTTCTGCGTGGGCCAGTTCAAGTCTGGCGTGGCTCTCACTGAATCAGAGCGAAGGTGTTGGCTGCTCTGAGGTAGGGCTGTTGATGTCTTTGCGCTCTGCTGCTTGGCCATTCGATTTGGTGGGCTCGGTTAGTTCAGGATATCAGGCACCAAATGGGCGAGTCCTCACTGAACCCTGCATGCAGGGGAGCATCCTGCTGACACGGGTCTCCAGCGAGTCCCACTGTGTACACTACTATGTACAAACAGTAGTGCAGAAGTGCTTTATGGGCCCACTATGGCTACTGAATAGCACTGTGCAAATGTAGCTGTGGCCCATCTGAAATAAATTCAGCCAGACCCCAAGAAGCTTCAGCATTAACCCAGCATTGTTGTCCCACTGCATGCGTGGTGCACAGCCCAGGTGACCGAGAGTTTGCTGTACTTGTGCTGCCTGTGTTGGTGATTCTATTGTACTTTGCTATTTTTCAGCTTGCTTTCAAATCTGACCCTCTTTCTTGTCATGGGACCGAGTTACCTGCTGTTTCAAACGGGTCAAAATTTTATTTATGTAGATTATTGATGACTGCCAGGTGTGGGATATTATGAAGTTCCAAAGTAAGTCCCAAATGACTTACAAGCAGCAAAGTATTGTGGTGAGCTCTGAGAAAGGGAAATGGCTAGGGGCGTAAGTTCCAGATATCATTTGTGTCTAGTGCACTGCTTATATTCTTGAATTGGAATACATGTTTATTTTAAGAATACCAACAACAAGAACTAGCCCATCCTTCCCGGTATTAAATATCTGCTGCCTTTGGGAGCATCAGTGTTAAATGCATTTCTACACACAAATCACATATAGACAGTCCTCTGCAGCCTCTGCAAATACATCTTCTAAAAGTGCAGCAGGATCGAATCCTGTAAAATTAAATGGAGTCACATCCTGCAACAAGAATAGAGTTAAAATAATGAGATCCTTGTCAGTTAGATTTAAGGGAATTGTTGAGAAGAAAAAAAAGTGTATTTGAATGTTTGCATTTATATCTACTGGTGTTTTAAAAAACAATATATATATATATATATTTTAAGGAGATTATAAAATGTGTGAGCATTTGTATGCAGCACCTTCAAAATAACATTGGACTGGGATAATAAAACCGTGATAGATGGGATTAGAACAGAACCATCAGTAGAAGTATGGTAACTTGTGGTGGTGACTTAGAAAGGTGACGCTGCCCGAAAAGGAAAACTGAGTGTTGGAGAAGGAGATGCAGAATATTTGGAGCTGGGGTGTTTAGCAGCTTCTTGGAAGCTCGTTAAATCAGTTTTTGTTGCAGTGGTTAGCGCATAAACCTTGAACTTCTTTTCCCGTTGGAAAGAACTGACAGAACTTTGTACGGTGTTCCTATTAAAACAACTGAAGTGAAATCACTAAATAAAACTGCAAAGTTTCGAGTGGCCAACCATGTGTGTGTGAACAGGTGATACAGTATTTATGAACATTTCTGCCAGTAGCTCTGGCTTGTTCCGTTGTAAAGCCACTCCCAGGGGGAGGCACAAGCACTGTAATCGTACTGCAGAAGTTTACAGAGCTGCTTTACCTGTTAGCTCAGGTGCTCTTGCATATGCTCAAAAAGCAAACTACCGTAAGTATGTTGATAGTTTAATAGGCAACGGTAACGTTATCTGTATTTACTCTGTTGCAGCTTTTTACAAGGACTCTTAACAGGTTTTGAAATCTGGTAATTTCAGTAGGCATATTTTGGCAAATGATCAAACTCAATTTCCTGCTACAGGAATAGTTTTTCTTATATTTATCTTTCTGCAAGAAACCCTTTCTCTGTATAAGTTCCCTCATGTTTGAATGACATGATCCAGCTACCACTAAATCACAAACAATTCCATCGGTTTAAAACTTCATGAGTGAAATTATCTTCTGAAGCCTGTGTGCCTTGCCAGCTGTTGGCTTGCAGTTCAGTAGCCCCTTGTTGAGTCCCTGAGGGGAAAAGAAGGAACATGTGAATGACTAAATCATTGCTGAGATGTGAATTTTTATTTTATTTTATTTTATTTTATTTTATTTTATTTTATTTTATTTTATTTTATTTTATTTTATTTTATTTTATTTTATTTTATTTTATTTTATTTTATTTTATTTTTTAAACAAAAACGTTGAACACCTTACTTAAGAAATTTGCAAATAACAAAGTAGTTAACAAATTACAGAACATAGACATAATGGATATTTTTAGTTTCAGAGATAACCGACACCAAATTAAATGTACACTTGACAGATGAGGAACTTTAACACTCTTCGGGCAAAGTAATACCCTCAGTATGGATGTGCTTCTGCGAGAGAGATGCAAAGAGTTGGGCCAAAACTATGTCTCAAGTAACCAGAGGGAAGATGGATGTTTAATCAGGATGAGTATAATAACTCAGTGGAATTTGTTGTCACAACAAAACCATGTAGAACTTGATTTATTTTTTGATTTATTTTTAGTGCATCTTTCCAAACATTATTCTCTAGGCTTATTTTTTTTTTTTGGTCTTTTTGTCTTAATCAACTTGTGTTCCTTGTGACGAAGATCCTTTTTTTTTTTTTTTTTTGTTTTCTCCCCTATTTCATTTTATGGTATTAGACACTAGATAAACAATGTTCTAAACCTAGGACTTAGTTCTAACCCTATTTTCCCAGCTGTGCTCTACCAGAAATATTCTAGTTTGCCCTCTGGAATTGAAATTGTTGCAAACTGAGAATTTGTAAATATGAATTTGTAATTTAAAGATTTTTTTTTTCCACCTCTTTACTAAATTTCCATGATTGTCATGTTGTTCACAACCCAGGGCAATAATTAATTCTGTGTGCGGAAATTCACTACTGTCTTACTTCACAAGCAATACATCAGATTATCCTCTCAGGTCACTGTGTAGCAATGGTGGGATTGTCACCTGGCTGTCACTAGAAATATTAACTCGCATAGCCCTGTCTCCTGGAGCAGTCTTCCATTTGAGATGGGTGATGAGTTTTGTTTATATATCACAAATGTTTTCTACCCAAACTGGTAAGTTCATGCATCAATTACACCTTGGTTTCTTCCTGTCTTGTTATGAACTGCTACGACAAGCACTTGAAACAGTTCTGGGGCAAGTTTTCTAAACAACGTTCTGTGTACTCTGTTCACGTAAACAATTTTTATAGTCCATTGAGTCATTTCAGTGATATTGGACTCAGTATTTTATGTGTTTTCTGAGGTACTACTTGCTGTGCTCACCCAAAAAGCATGTGCTCATACATTTGCTAGCTGATATAAACTGTGTAGTTTTCACTAATCTGTTGCTGATCTTTTTCTCTCTGTGAGTTAGCATGGGCTCAGTTCATGAGTGGGTATTTGGTAGCTTAGTCTTCACCCTGAAGTTCTTACATGTTTAAATTTTTCTTAGGTTTTATTTTATCTTTGATTCATTAAGAACTTGCTGTGAAGACTCGTGAAATCTCTACTGTCTTGTACCAACTGCCTTTCCTGCACTTTGTGCACTCTTGTAACTTGGCTCTTTCTCTGTAACCTGAACTACTGCAATCATTACTGAAAATATAACTTGCTAATGGCAGCTCCTTTGATATTTTTTTTTGCTTTTGCACTCAGTACTTCACCTAAGCAACAAGTGCCAGTAAGGTGATCGTGTGGGTTGGGGTCAATAGATGTGCATAACAGCTGATAGCTTCTGTAGATTTAGTAATTGCTTTGTATTTTTAGAGTATGACAGTGTATATAATTTGTGCTTTTTCTATTTAAAAAACAACCAAACAAACAAAGCCACAACACAACTAGCAAAACCCAAGAGCTTTGCAGGGTAAACATTTATTTTGGAGTAGAAATTTGCATCTTCAAAATCTTTATAGAATTACTGAACCTTTATTTTTGTGCGTCATGATTGGAAATTGCTTAATTACAAAACCTCAAAATAAAGAAATATGTTTGCATTGGAAAGAGTAAAAGCGTTTCATTTCATGTTAGAGTTCTCATATCCTATTAGAAAATACAGTAAAAATGAGTCAATTTCAAAATTACTTGCAGCACTGTTATGCTTACAGGAGCATCATACTGCTGCACCTCCTCTCCCTTGGTTTTTGGTTTGCATCAAAATTTGGAAAAGAAACCTGTGCTGTGCATTGTGATGGAATGTGGTTGGAAGCTTCTGCTGCCAGCTTTTATTTATGTTCTGACAGCTACATCTTACTGCTGTTAACTGAAGTATATATACTTTTTTTTTTTTTTTTTTTTTTTTGTGAAGAACTCAATAAAAACAACATACAACTTAACAGGATTTGTCATTGCCTTCGGTGAATTTGTTTGAGCTGAAACAAGTTTTACTCTCTAATACCAACAGTGGCTTTAGCTCTCATACCTGAAAGGTCATCTTGTTTGCAGTACGCTCAAAACAGACCCCTTCATCACTCAAGGGGACTGGGAGAGGATGATAAAGTATTCCCTCTGAAAGCTTCACACTTTGGAGTCTCTGTCTGGATATAACAGCAAGGAGAAGAAGACATGCTGCAAAGTCTTGTCTCTAAATACTTTAAAATAATCATCTCCTTTATTGATAATGCAAATAAATGAATCAAAAGGCTATATTTGGTTTAATTTTGATATGCTGTGTCAAAGAAGTATTAGCAACTACATAAGTTTTAGCAGTATTTCTTTTTATAGTGAATATTAATGTTAATTAATTCAGTGTAGAAAGTTTGAGACGGTTGTAAATTCCAAGCATTATGTTTATATACATTTATATATATGTGCACACAGGAAACCTCGACCTGTCTCTCAGCTGGTTGCACAACAGGTTCCTCAGCAATTCATGCCCCCTGCGCAATCAAAGAAAGAGAAGAAAGACAAAGTAGAAAAGGAAAAAAGTGAAAAGGAAACAACTAGCAAAAAGAACAGTCATAAGAAAACCAGGTAAAAATTTTAAGAAACTTTTTGCAGTATTGGTAAATCGTAATTAAAAAAAAAGAAAATACAAAGATGATCCATGATTTTACTGCTTTGTAAGTTCTGTGACAAACTCCTTTGAACAATAAGGTTAAATATTTATATCAAAGTTTCATTGTTTTAGGATGGCTATTAAATGCAAAGAAAACTTGCAGTTTGTAATCTTAACCAGAAGATGGAGACCAGATGAATATAGAGAGGAGTTGGGTATTAAGGGTTTCAGGTGTCTTTTTCACACCATACAAAACTAGGTATGCAAAACATAATGCTAGGATCTGGAAAAAGAGGGGACCAGAGCGACTAGATTTCATGCAGAAAAACTGGGGGGGGGAAAGGAGGGAGGGATAGAAAGAACCAGTACCACATTGCAGAGAAGTGGGAAGTGAACATAGGTATTGCTTCCTTGCAGAATTGGAAGAAATTTTGAAAGAATTGTAGGGGTTGGAAGGGACCTCAAGAGATCATTGGGTCTACTGCCAAAGCAGGTTCCCTAGAGCAGGTTGCCCAGGTAGGTGTCTAGATGGGCCTTAAATATCTCCAGAGAAGGAGACCCCACAACCTCCCTGGGCAGCCTGTGCCAGTGCTCTGTCACCCTCACCATGAAGAAATTATTTCGCATGTTGGTGTGGAACTTCCTGGGCTCCATTTTGTGGCCATTGCCCCTTGTCCTGTCCCCACAGACCACTGAAAAGAGGTTGGCCAAATCCCTCTGTCTCCCACACTTAAAGACTCAAAGAAAGGCTCAACTGGGGTATAAATTAATGTGACAGAGTAAGGTGCTTATGCTACGTAGTGATAAAAATCCCTGTGCTACATCTGGGATACTGAAGATGGACTCTTGGAACAGAGAACATGAAACATCGTGGTACAGACAAGCAGTTGTAAAAATCATTGCTTTTCCTGTAAGAGCAGGAGAAAGGTGCAAAGTGGAAAACAAAAGCAGTAAATTTAGCCCCCAAATCATCACAGCCTAAGCATAATGTTACTGCAGCAAGAATGTGGTGCCAGAAAGCTTGGCAGTATACAAGACATGTAGTCTAATCAAAAGTGGGAGGAACTATTGATTTTTTTTTTGGAAGCATTCCAAAGTAGTCCAGCCAAGGAAGATCCTTTGGGATTAGTTATGCAGAGAAGTAGCAGATGCTTCTCTTGTGCCTGAAATAGGATCATCAGGATGAGAAGCAGAGCGAGATTGTGAGTTGAGAGAGAACAGTCTTTAGGATAGTTATGGTTAGGATTAAGGGGACTTAAGACGTTCCAACAGGAAGAATGCATTTCTTTTATTTTTTTTTCTTTTTCCAGTACTTAAATTTACTAGCTTACCATACACAGCTAAAGTACTTTGATTATGAAGTATCTGAAGTTAAAATAGTAAGTTTTAATGAGGCTAATTATAAATTATAAATATATTATAAATATATTATAAATTGAAATAGAGATGCTTGAATTGTACATTAGAAACACAAAACGAAGGTAGGGAAAGAGAGAGAACATTTAAAAAAAATAAATAAAATAAAAGCCGTGGAATGAAATACCAGTATTGAGATTCACATTAACAATGGCTACTGGAAATAATATTTAAGCACTTCACACAGTTCCTTTTTTCACAATTAATTCACTAGATAGGATAACAAATTAAGAATGCTTGATGAGTTTAAGCATATTTCTTCAATATCCTTTTGGGAAAGTGATATCTCTTTCTCTTTGCTTGAAAATTTGCTGGAAACAATCATAAAATCCGAATACACACTAAATATGATTAATAAGCTTCAGGAACGTCACATATACAGGTTGGTAATGCTGAATTTTTTCACACTGTTCCCATGTTAGAGAGCAGCAGATTTTTCAGTTCTTTTAGATTCTTCCGTCACCCTACTTCAGCCTCAGGGGAACAAGATGTCAAGTCCTCTGTCTAGTGGAGGAAAGGCACGAGGTGTTTCAGTTGAAGTGACTGGGAACCAATTCTACTTCAAACAAAGTTAGATGATAGGGTAAAGGTTAGGACTTTGCTGTTAGCACACCTGCTAACGTGATGTCATATTAATTTATTTTATTGCAGCTTGAGCTGGTGAAAGCTGTGGAGTCAGTTAAAGGCATAAAGCTCTGCCATTCGTAACTGCTTGTATAAATTCAGCTGCCTCATGACAGTTTCCCAGGGTTGTCAAAGGAAAATAGTAAATTGAAAGTACTTCATGCTCATCACTAGCAAAAATATGATGGCAGAACATAAGTCAAACTGTTCTTTTATGGTTCTTTCTGTTGTGAAAAATCAAACAATTGACAGAATAGATGAAGAGACTTAACCTATCAATGCTGTGTGATTACTGAGCTCTGTGCATATTTTAAATCACAGCATGTGCCAGGGATATCAGAATTATTCTGTGAACACAAAGGGCAGTTCAAATAATATACTGGCAGTCTTGGTGAGATTTTTAAATGAAATATACCTGCTACACGTTAACACTTTTGGAATGCAGGATTTTGTAGCTAAAACTGTTGTTGAATTCAAAAGGCACAGATAAGGTTTTTGTACACTGACATCTTCATTGCTGAACACCATTCTCTACCTAGAATTGTTGCTTAAGGCTGCTGCAGAGATGCATCCTTCTCTAGATGAGATTTACAAATTTTTATAGCCAAAATAATGAAAGATGTAATTTAAAGAATAAACACACAAAACTTCACGTGTAACACATTTGTGTTATTGTGCAGTTATAAACAATTACCTTATGAATATTTTATAATCTTATAGAAAGTGGCAAAGGTAATGTGTTATTTTCACCTATTTTAAAGTAAAACCAGGAAATGCTCTAGCATAAACACTTGTGGTACTTTGTCATCTTCTGTGTTACCTGTTCCACAAGGCAGTATTACACTGATGTTACATGCGTATTCTCTGGAGCTTGGAAATGTAGGAGAAAGACAAGATAATGAGATGGTATGTGTGTTTTTAATACCACTATTTGCTTTATTTAGGCCACGATTGAAAAATGTGGATCGAAGTAGTGCTCAGCATTTGGAAGTTACCGTTGGAGATCTGACGGTCATAATTACAGACTTTAAGGAGAAAACTAAGTCACCACCTGCTTCTAGTGCTGCTTCTGCAGATCAACACAGTCAGAGTGGTTCTAGCTCTGACAACACAGAGAGGGGAATGTCCAGGTCATCTTCACCCAGAGGAGAAGCTTCATCGCTGAATGGAGAATCTCATTAAAGTTTATTTCCTCCAGTTTCTTTAGTCTCTTCTCTTTAAAACATGCAAATACATAACTTCTGCCACCTGTTACCACATTTTCATGACAGATTATCCATGCACAATTGGTATGTTTACTGGAACATAATTTATGCAGTTTAAAAAGAAGAAAAAAAAGTGCAGTGGTAGAAATAATTTAAATGCAATCTAAAAATGCTTACAAAGCATTTTCAGACCAACTTTTTAATCTTCGTGTGTAAAGGTGCCATGAAAATGTGGTTTGAATGTTCATATGCAGTGTTATTGGTAAGTCCATTTTCACTTTTAGTTTAGTGAATTCTAACAACTCTTGGAGTCTCTACTATTGGCATGTACTGAATTTAAATTTTTATAACATAGTTCAAGCTGCCTAAATATGTATTATTTGAGAATTGTGAAACATAGTTATATGTATGCAAGTCAAAGATCAACTTAATCAACTATTGCTGCAACAGAATTTTCATAATAATTATCTTCTTAAAAAACACCTGCTGGTACTTGGTGTGGTTAAATAGGAAAAATGTTATTAAATAAAACATTTGTATGAATTTTTGCCAATGTTTGACACATTTTACTAGATTACTGTTAATGAATTATGTTGATGGTTTTACCAATATTTTTTCACACTTAAAACACTTATTGTAATGTTTACAAGCAAAATAGAAAACACATTCTAAACATCAATTGGTTAACTTTACAATTCAGGTGAAGTACTACATTGTCATTGTACACTGGTTTTCTATGTTGTATAACAAATATTGAACCTCAGATGACTAAGCATTTGGCAAAAACTAACATTTGGAAGTATGGAAGTTTGGAAAAAGCTTTAAAAATAACTGAAGTGCAGTTCTTATTTCTGCTTAGTGCTGTTTCCTTGCCCCAAATTTACCTAGTGTTATACAGTCAGTTACCATTTCATTACAGAAATATCAGATGTTGCACAAGAATAAGGAAATAATACTTTTTATTTTTTATTATTTTGAATCAACTTCTTTTGATTTGGCCTATTAGAGGATATTATGTCATAAATCATACAAAAAAAAGCCTCAGTATCCTACTTTATGGCATAAACTGTCAACATTTACGCACTTAGCAATATACTGATGCAGAGCAGAACTATCTACAATCCCATCTGGTATTATGTAAAATTACCAATAAAATATTTTTGTGAATACAGATTTTTGCATTTTTGTTTACAGCCAATAAGTGTTTTGATACACACTCATCCAATCCATGTATAGATTTAAATTATAGATTCAGGTTCAGTACAGAAGTCCATTTAGTTCCTTCTAGTGGGGTAGTCCACTTACACTCCTGTGATTCTTTTCTTTTTCTTTCAAAATACATATTTTTAAGCCCATGTAAAAATTGGATGGACCTTCTTGAATCCAGCCCTAAATTATGACCAACATGTGGTACATCTTTGTAACAGCTAAAGCAATGGATTTTTGTAGCCCCTGACAATTGTGGTGTTTGGTGGTTTCTTGTAGTAATGTATTTTTCTGTTTTTAATGCAGTACTTCTACAGGCACAACAGTACTGTTCTATTTTGTAAGATGCTAGTTGTGAAATACAGTTAGTTGCATAAAATGAAAGTCTGATGTGATATCTGAGAACATACATACCTCATTCCTTGGTGTTGCTGTTTAAACTTTTTAGACATCGAATGTTAATTATAGGCTATTTCAGATGGATAACTACTGACCTGTTTATTATGTATTCTGCTTTATCTTACTAAATAGGATGTCTGTTCATTGCAATTACTTGGCCAAATCTTAGTATCTGTAAAAACAATGCATTTTAAGGTTCTTAAATGTTTTGGGGGCTGGGCTGGTGTTCTGAATAACATACACTAGTTTTTAGAAGAAAAGTACATGTTTCTCAACTTTATTTTTTTATGTTTTATTTTTAGGTGGGACTATTTGCAGAATATACTGATGTAATGGATTACAAGAGAGCTGAAACTGTTTAAAGTAAGCAGTTTAATGATAGAATCTCGTTGCAAGATGTTTCATGAAATGTGTTTCTAATTTAAAATGTAATGAATGCTAACACATTTCAGTATTCCTTGCAGACAAATAATAATCTATTACCAGTAGTTCACTAAATGGGAAACTTATTTTCATTTGACTTTATGTGAATAAACCACCCAGCACTGCCAACAAGAGGTCTCTTTGTATCTTCAGAAATAAGTAGCCATTTGGTTTGGAAGGAAAGGAGGATGGAGGGGATTTTACTATGATTCAGCTGTCTCTAGAGAATTATCTCAAAAATATGGTACAAGTATAGTTATTGTCAAAAAGAATGAAAAAAAAAAAGTCTTACGGAAACCACTGTTCTTCATGGGATAAGATGTAGAAAAGCAATTCCTAACCACAGATATAACAGATGCAATGCAAGACAGCTAGGATCTAAAATTTGAGCTGTGGTGGTTCTGAATGAAATACTACATAGCTAGTGTTTACATTACAGTGATGCCAATTTTGGCATTAAACAAAGTGAAGATAATTTTTGTCTGTTTGTGATTAAAGGGATGTGACAATAGTGACAGCAGAGCGGACAACTTCAAAGCAGAATATGGCAATTTGACTCTGTTCATAATGTTCTAATTTAAATGAACTTCACTTTCATAATTTCTAAATAATTTCAACGTGTAGTAGTAATCCTAAATCCTTTTTCTACTGTAAATATATTTAAAAGCATCTTTACTCCATTTATAAAAAGTGAAAATTTAATGTTGTAATGTGTTTTGATTAGCTATTTTACTCTGTGACTGTTCTCTCCATAAGAATTGTTATTTGTCAAATTCTATATATGCACCAGTCTAGAATAGCCATACATTTTGGGTTGCTCATGAAATGGTGACCCAACAAAGGCAAGCGTGATAGTGTTCCATGTAAATTAGTTCCCTTATGTGCTGATCATCTAGCTTCAGAAAGGAAAAGGGGAAGGAAATGGGGAAAATGACCTATAATTAATTCACTGATAAAGTGTGTGACAATTCAGTCTTTCATCTTCCTAACTTTACCACTAACTATAGGTGGTATATAGAAAGGATACACAGTTGTAGACTGTGATCTTTTGATTTCTTCTGCAATTAAGTTTGTGTATTGGAAATAAGCAAAAGTTGTTCTACTTAGTAGCAAGTTAAAGTATGCCATATAAAATCTTGATTCTAACAGCAGCGATAGTAAAAACAAACAAACAAACAAATTAAAATTAAATTTCTTGATCTTAGAAGTCTCAAAATTAGGGCTATGACTAAGGTTTTAAACTAATACATATTTCTCTAGATAGCTGATGTTTTGTGGCAGATTGTAAAATCGCAGAAAATGTTTGGGCTTTGTAATTTGAGCACTTTAATTTTTTAATATTATGGATAGCACATTTTTAGGTAGCCATGTAGGACAGAATGCTTATAATTTATTTCCAGCAGTTCTTTAGAGCGGTCATGCAAGTCTGGTAGACTTGACACATGTATGAATCTGCATCTTTGGTTCTTTAATTTTTCTCTCTCCTGTCTCCAAAGCCTGACAGTTTCCCACGTTACGCTGATCGACGATTCTTTTGTTATACAGGAGGAATTTGGCATGGAACTATCTATTATGTACTTCTTTGTATATCCAGGGTTCTTTAACTGTATCTGCATGTTTTTCTCTGTCACATGCCTTTAAGTTGACTCTGCTGCCTATTACACAGAGTCTGGTTATACTTCCCTTCAAATGTCAGAAACAATACAGAAGAGGAGATGCAACTTAATTTAGTTTCTTCTCCAGCAGTGGCAAGTGCTATGCTTGTAAATTTGTCCTGTGCTAACTCAGGAATAAGATAGGTAGGATAAAAGGTTAATGCTGTTTTTGGCTAGTGGACCAGTCAAATATGATATTTTGCAAACATGTTCTTCTATCTTAATGTTAAGATATGGGTGTGCTGGAAATACTGTTTGAGCTTTTGAAGATTTTTCTTACCTGAAATTCTTCCCCGATTTATGTCAAAGCAGGCTCAGTTTGAAGGGGTGTAACCTCACAAATGAGCAAAAGTTGTACCATAAAATCAGTCAAACTGAGGAGAGGTCAGTTGGTTTTCTTTTGTACTGTCAAAATTCTAACAAGAGGAGAAAGAGATTTAAGACATTTGTCCAAGACAACAATCAGATATTGAGCTTAGTTTTGACATCTAAAGAAAAATCGGTGTTTTAATTAGAATTTACAGGATTTAACTATTAAAATGTACTTCACAAGTTAACCACATATCAATATTTTTTCAGAAATTACTGCAATGTCCTGTGTAGATGGATATGAATGGAGTAAATAGTGCAACAGCAAGTCATGGCTGTACTTCTGCTAGAAAATGGTACTATCCAACAGAAAGTGACTTTCTGAAGACATTGTGCAGGAGGATTGTGATACGCCAATGTACAAAGCCTAGGAGTTCAGGCGTACTCCTCTCTACATAAAGTATGCCATTGGTTTCAAACAAGGAAAGAAAATGCACCAAACAGATTAGCTACAGATCCTAGAGTCTTATTAATGCAGGAGCTGTTTACAGTTTCTGTTTAACTGTGTAGGTGAAAAATAATTAAAATGAACCACTGTTGGATAACACTTAATCCCTCTGAAGATGTTTTCCATCTTAATCTTGCCCCTTTTATTATGAGATACTGATAAAAGCCATCTGAAATAGCTTGCTCTGTTCATTGACTCAGAATTGTAAGAGCAGACAGTTCACTGTGCACGGGAAGATTTAGCTTTACTTTTAAGATGCTAAGCATGGAAGATTAAGGGCAGAAGTGTATATGATAGCTCAAGTGAGTATTACTAAGAATAGTCACAATAGATCACTGTGTCATTTAGGGTTTGTAAAAGGCAATAATCACTCATTTTTGCCTATGTTTAAGAAGAAAATGGCCACCAGAAAAGATACTGTTCTGGTAACAATGATTTAAAGAATAGTTCCAAGATGCTATTTATTCTGTCGAGAGCATATCTTAATGGAGGTAGGAATATCCGAGCAAGACGTCCTTCAGGAATATGTTGTCAAGATCTAGACTACTTGGAAAAGTTGCCTGATCCATCTTTAATTACACTGTTCTCCTCGTATAAGTATTGATCTTAGTCAAAGTGCATGCAAACTGAACGCTCTCCCGTAAACTTAAAATCTTAAGAAACGTTGCTCTAGACTAATAGGGCTTTAATTTACATTGGAGATACTGAGAAGATGACTGAAGACAAGAGCATACTAATCTATTTTTTTGCATAACCTGTTAAGCATATGATCTTAGTGTTCCTCTTGTGTGTAGGAGTGAAAGTGTACTCATGAACAAAATATACGTACCCAGTGCTATGGAGTCTAGCTCCCTACCCCCTTCCAAAGCTCACTGGATTCTACAGGTGGCAGATTCTTTTGGTTCAAAGGCATTAGGAAAGGATGGAGTTGTTCAGTCACTTAGCATCAGTTAGTTAAGCAAGATCCTACTTTCTGAATACCCACTTTGGGAATACAGAGGTCTAATTTGGGCTTTATATGCATCTAATACATAACTATCATCCATGAGCATGAAATATTCCAAGCTGATATTCCAAGCTGATTCCACGCATGAAATATTTCAAGCTGATACTTCTTTTCAGAGAGTAAATGGAAATGCTTCAATGCCAAGTCCAGTTCTTGATGGCACAGTTCTCTAAGCAAAAAAAAAATCTGCCCTCTGACTGATCATCTCTTACTGTAACAGCCTTCAGCGGTGAGTTAATCTAAGCGAGGGAGATCTCTTAAGGCTACACGTATTTCAGTGTAAGTGGCTGCAGTAAGTGTGCAATACTGTATTATGCCTGCTTTTGTAAGCAGGGAATGTGAGTGCTATTCCCAGTTCTTCAGCTTTATCTTGGTTTCTGTAAGACCAGCGATGATATGTGGAGCTTTGAGGTCATCTATCGATTTTTTCAGTTGTCTGTATTTTTACATAATTGAATTACTGGAGAGGTTCTTGCTGAGCAAACTTACTCATACCAGTCCTGTACCATTCAAGTATTCTGGCTGAGGTAGCTGCATTCTGGCATGCCAATTACTGGTCTTCACGCCCGTAATCCTGCAAAGGCTCTGATTCTACTGTTGTAAGGCTTCCAAATGCAGAAGAATAAGCAAACTGCTTTCCAACTGATGGAGATGTAACACTGCCAGGTAATTAGATCTGAAAGGTCTTTTTTTTACAAGGTACAAGAAAATACGCTTCGTGCTGCCTGGAGAAAGAGATCCAAGGAAGAGCATGCACAGATGCTGAGGACTACATTTCCTGCGAAAATTCTGAGTAGGCAGCTTCTGTTTCTCTTATGTAAACCAACTTCAAAAACCCTCAGTCCAACAAAAGAGGATAAGAGGAAAAAAAGAACAAAGAAAATTTACTTTCAGAATGACATCTAGAAGACCCACTGCACGATGGCTTTTTCTTGAGTACAGTACTTCTCTGTGTGCTGTCTTGGAAGCAGGCAGTATCTCACACTTCTTACAGGTGTGTTTTGCTGTATGGTTCTTCATAGCCACTGGTTCAGTGACTTTTGGCCAGAAGACAGATACAGGTTTTTTATAAATTTCATGTTAAATACCATGAACATTTCCCTCGGGTACAGGTTATGCATTGAAAGAGCAGTAATAGTGGTTAAAGAGCTGATCAGGAACAAAAGAGCTTCCTCACGTATGTTTAAATACAATCCGGTTTCAGAGGCTCTGATTCCTGGACAACTAGAAAAAGGGTAACTTTATGCTGAAAAGGGAGTAAGAACCCAGATGAGAATAGCTGTGGCTTCTGGAAAGAGTTTTGTGGCCTGTAGTTCATACGGCTATTTTCAGATATAATTCCACACCTTTGCCAGTTAATCTTCAAGTGTTAGCAGGGCTCCCTCACAGACAAATCAAAATTACCAACAGCACTGTCAGATGCTCTTAAAATTTACTAAGTGCCTTATACAGAGCATCAATGAGGCAATGATTCAATTGAAAGGAAGGTTGATAAGAGATTTACTCCTCTGGATGGAGTCACAGGTTATCGGTTGTAACTAAGGCAATGTTCCTGGTTATAACACTAGAATCTTATATTTTCTTGCTCATACAAGTACCTAGTAAGAAGCAGTCTGGAAATTTCTGAGGCTTTCAGTTTGTAAAACATAAATTCTTTGGAGTTTTTTTTTTTTTTTTTTTTTTTTTTATGTCAGCTGTGATAGCCTGCTGGCGTATCACAGAAGTGACTCAAACTTCTGAGTATTTTTGGATGCTTTCACACTTCTCAATATCCCAATCAAGGGTAGCACTACCTTTCTTGGGAAGGGACACATAAGTTGGTTTTATTCATCGGGTTTACGCTTATCTAACAATAATTTTTAAGGGTTTTATTGTCAGAAAAAGGGCTTGTTATTTTGAAAATAAAAATTTTACCTGCCAGGTGTCTTCCCCAAAACGAGTAAGTGCCTTTTCTGTTCTGACTCTTAGAAGTATTTTACTTTGTCAGATTGAATCTGAATGTCCTGGATAAACCAACAAAGTACTGAGTGTTACCGATGGCTTGAAATCCTTTCACTGAAAGAACAAGACAGAATGTAAGCCACGTGAATTATTTTGAGACCTGATGTTATCAGAAGTTTTATAACTGCATATGAATAGTATACTTCTAAGAACAATGTAACTTTTCAGGAACTTGATGTTGATTAGGAAATAAATATTTATTAAAATAAGTATATTAAATAAATATTTATTTACCAGTTTAAGAAAGGTAAAATGTTACACCGTGGGGGCAACAGTCTTGCTGTTAGCAGTCCTGACTACTTAATGGAAAGTAAAACTGAGGCCCTGAGCTCTGACTGTAACAGAATGCATTTGGTGAGAGATTGGGACTCTGAATCTTAGGTCCACATTCTAATAAAGTAATTCTTCCCACCTCAGTTTTTGCCAATTCTCAAACAGGAAAGAAGGCATGAGCAGATATCAGTAAGAGGACCTCTGGTGTTATTGGTGCTGCTTCCTATCTCTAGAGGACTTTTTTTTTTTTTTTTTTTAATTTAAACTTTGCTCAGGACTGGTACAGCTGAAAGTATATTTTCCCTTCATTCTTAAGCCTAGATTTTGAATGGAGTTTCTCTGAGACACTTTTGTAGTGAAATCGTATTCCCTACGAACATTGAAGACAAAAATAAACATCTCTGTGAACAAAAGGTGGTGTGTGCTTGTAATTTTTTAATATATATAATTTTGTTAAAATAATTCTACGGGTACGCTAAGCCACATGTACCCATTATATTGGTCTACACTTAAAAGGTCTCTATGCAGCAGTCAGAAAATAAAGCCTTCATCATGAGATGCTACAATTTCCTGTCTGGTAAACTATGTTCAATTCCAGTTAAACACTTGTTTAAATCGAGATGGCAATACAATGCATTCAGCCAAAGTGCACGTATAGTAACCTATTGAGACACTGCCTCAAACTGACCTCTTCCTGACTTCAGTTCAAAGGCGTTATTCAATGAGTTAAAATTCTGAAAGCTGAGGGGAAGGGGCTGGAAAGAAAGAAACAGTAGGACAGTTTTTCAGAATAAATGCTGCACAATCAGTGACAATAAAGTTGTTTAAAAATGAACTATTCTATAGTCATTTTGATGAACATACAATTAGTTTCAGATGAGCATTAAGTAGATGTGTTCAAAGCCCAGAGTAGTGACACACATTTAAATGTCTTCCCTGGTAATAAAGTAATATTCTTGCCTTCTTACAGGCAAGTATTTTCAGTGAAAATTTTTGCAGGTGTACTATATTCAGTCTTGACTGGCAGTGATGCTTAGGGTGTGTCGTGATAAATGGTAAATAAAATAATTAAATTGCTGGGAACCCTTCTCTGAATGTGTTACTTGTACTAGCTAGGCAAAAGTGCAAGAAATGTAAGTGGACAACTTTGGGATAAGCTGTAGCAGATTGTCAGACAGGGGGCCTACTCTCAAAATGCCAGGTGTGCTCTGCTCGCTGTGGGTTATTCACTTTGACTCTGAGCTGTGGTGGAAGTTGAGATACTCAAGTGCTGCTTCCAAGGCAGCAAGAAACTAAGAAAACAACCATGCTTGCAAATGGAAGTAACAACTGAGGTGAGAAGCTTGAGAAGGCTTAATCTAAGCAGATTTCATCACTTTGTGTATATAGCTTTTTTTGTTTGTTTGTTTTTCCTAAAACAGATCCTACAAAAAGTGATCTGTCTTGAGTCATTTTCAAGCTATGTACAGTTCCAGTGTTCAATTCTGAATTGTTTGATGTTTCTTTTGCTTTGCAGCACGAGGCTGAGATCCTCCAAGCCGTTGTTGAAAGGAGCAGGTTCCCTCATAAAGCCAGGCAGCATTTCCCACTTGTGTAGCAGGTGACTGACGTGTTGGCCATGAATACACGTGCTCATCCTTGCTCCATGCAGGCAGTTTGTGAGGCTGGTGCATCCTCGGGTGCAGAATGTAACATCATCTTGTGAGTGCTGGGTATAGTCCTGAAGCACAGGCAGCATGTGGTAGCAAACTCTACATGAACACCAAGCTCAGTATTATCAGAAACACTGACTTCTACAAAGGACAGCAATCTTCAATGCATTTGAGATGAAACTGGCATCAGATACCGGAGTGAGGCTATTGTCACTAATTAAGGGACTCTAATTTATTCCACTTCCTTGTCTGTTTTAGAAGAACAGAAGGAATTGAAAAGAGGAGACCAAGTTGTAAAGCCCTTCTGTCACCCTTCTATTCATTTTTTTCCCTCTGTTGACTGTTCAGTAAGTCCACTACACAATTATGGGTCTGAAGATCAAAACAAATTTCTTAAATTCCACACCCCTGTTCTGGCAGCCCTGGGAGATCACAGCATTCCGTCTGTGCCTGGTGCCTGGAGAGAGCTTGGTACAGTGTCCAGTCATTTTTTACCCTTTCTTGACCTGAAAGAAAGTAAAGGAGTAAAAGAAACGCATCTTTCTAAAATTACAGGTAAAGGATGGGTGAAAGATGCATAATTTCTTAGTGCCATCATGAGTGAGCAATGCTTGAAGGTGTTTCAGATGTTTTGGGTGGAAGGTGTGGGCAGCACAGCATCCGCACTGCCTCGTGCCATGGAAGTGTTGGCAAATGCAGTTCTGAGGACATTGGGGATAATCAGGGTCGTGTCTGTGCTCTGCAGTGGAGTGGCACAGGGCTGTGTAAGCAACCTGGCTGCTCACCGTCACTCCTTCAGACATGACAAATTATTGACAAAGTATAAGGGTACGTGGTGGCTCAGCCTGTTGTGTACCTTAGGCATTTGTCTGTGAGATGGCCACGCTGTGCAGTTATAAAAGGGGCAGTCAGTACAAAAGGAAGTGTTAACCTCTTCCTGGTATTTCAAGCACTAAGTTCTTTATACATCTCGTACTTTTGACTGATTAATCTGTTTTTTGAATCCCTAGAAAACAAGATGTGGAGAGACCAGCAGTAGGACTTTATCCTTGACATGTCCCCTCCATTGGTTTCAAGGTTAAATCCTGCTTCCGAGGAGCAGGGAGATAAGCAAAATAAAAAGACAAAATAACAAGTTGGCTTGGCCTGACATTGGAAAAGTAAATCAAATCTTCACCTGGCTGACTAACTGACTGCTTCCCAATCCAGGTTATGCTGACTTTTTTTTTCTTTTGGAAATAGGGGCAACTGGCTACCTGCCTCACTGCCTCTAGTGTATCTGGCTTGCACTGTTGAATGGCTTTCAGAGTTCCTGGCAACTCTCCTAAACCCGTGCTTCCTCTTTTCAGAGCAGCTGGTGGTTGTCATCTAACATTTTTTTTCATGTTAGTTGTTTGCTAGATGCAGTTTCACTCACCTAGCCATGCAGGCTTTTTGCACTTTGTGAATAAATAAGTAAAACATATAAAATGTTTTCATACCAAATGTAACAAAAAATAATAGATAAAAAAAGCAGTGGTTTCCAGTCTGTGGTCTGAGGATCTCATGAGGTAATGCGTTGCTTCTAAAAAAAGGGTCTTCAAAAAAGAGTAGGATGAGCTACTTATTGCAATTAGCACTGATTTGCTGGGTGGAGGCTGCACTGTTACTGTAAAGTACCATGCAGGATTAATTCCAGATTAGCTGATATGCTTCATTGTAAAAATTAGGCCATTGTGTATGTTTAGTTAGTAAATATTTATTCTATGACAAGAAAAACATGACAGTAGATTGTAGAAACTTAAAGACCCTGACTGGGGTGTCAGGGCACTGAAAGCACTTGACGCTGTAGCAAACCATAGCAGGACAAGTTGAGGTCTTTTAACTGGAGTATTTATATATACAAAAACAAACAAACAAAAAACCCAAACCAAATAAATGCAACCATAAAGCTCAGCCTGCTTGCCTTATTTCTGTGTTTTCATACATGGTATGTATTAGCATAAGTAGGTAAGTTTGCTTTGACTCCTTCCAGGAGTATTTTAAACACAAACAGCTGTGCCAGACACTCCCTGGAGAATTCTAGATGAAGCCAAAGCCTGACACTGAGAATCCCCATTGGACTGATGTTTTGGAGCTCCCTATTTAGAAAACTTTAAAGGAAAAGAAAATCTTTGACACACAAATACAGAAAAAATATGTAAAAAGAAAATTCTCTTTACACTCTTAGGAAGTATTTCTGCTTTTATTTTTATTTTTTTTTTTTATTGGAGGAATGCATTAATAATTGTACTAGGCTACATAAATAAATATGTCGTTATTTATTGAAGACAAGGAAATTGAACTTTCTTAAGATGAGCAATACAACTATTTTGACTCCTTACAATTTAATAGCTTATGGTTGTTCACTGAAGATTTTAAAGTAAGTGTACTACTGATAAAATAATTTATTCAAATTGACATAAACCAGGGAACGTTGTAAAGTATCACATCAGTTCCCAAACTCTTCACAATGCAGTTTGTTTAAATTTGTGTACTACTGTCCTCAGGTACGTATGTTCCTGATAGCAAGAGAAACTGCAAAATATCACAAAGCTTCTGCTTATAGGCTAAGTAGGTTAAACAGTCACTACAATGCAAAACAATGGGAACTAAAAAGGGAAGGAATGAGTGAACACAATGATACTTCAGTAATCAATGAAAACTGAAAATTTTGGGTTTTTTTTCCAATGTTGGGGCTGATGTGGGGAAATCTGAAGAGCAGATACAGTAGGAATGGAAGACAGCTGTACCAAACTAAATCCTCGTCTTAAGAATAAATTTGAAGGAAAGAAAAATGATGTCTGGCAGCAACAGAAAAGGGACATTACACCAAGAAGTCTGATGATGCCATATGCACAGCACATGGCAGCAAAGCAGTTCCTCCTCCCTTACCCAACCTTACAATCTATCATAGCAAAGTGTTGACACTGCAGGTTGTACGAAAGGGCATGTGAACATCAAAGAAAGTGTCTTTGCCTTTGAAAAACCCTTAACTGGTCTGCATGCTTGGCAGCCTTGACACAAATCTGTCAGCGCAGAATCTTATTGCTTTGCCAACTTAACTAATGGTTTGACTTCCTGAAAGAACAAACCCAGAAGAAATGATGGAAACGCATCTGATTAGGACTGGGCTTTTTCATTAGCAGAAACTTTGAGTGGAATTTGATTTCTCTCTTTGTTCTCTCGGTTGCATCAGATAATCCCCTTCTATAATTGTGAGTATGTATATATTTTAATTTAAGTCGATCTAATTTATCTCTCAATCTAATGAGTAGCTAGAATTTCAGTTTAATTTTCTGGCACGCACTAACTGCTTTTATGGCCTTTGAACAGATTTACAGAAGTATAGGGTATTTATTCTTTTATAAAATGAGTTGTCCCAAATATTTAACACCTGTAGTTTTTCTAAACTTACTGTTTTCTGGACTTAAGGTATTTTCTGGACATAACAAATAGAACTGAATCCTTTTAAGGGTAACAAAAGCTACCATGGCTAAGTAACTTCTAATTCTAGTCAGGAAAAGGATTTAAAGATTTAAAGATTTAAAATTGAAAATAAATTGAGAGAACCTTGCATGTGATTGTGCTTCCTCATCATTTAACAGTTTTTTAAAGACTAGCAAATATTACAGCATAAAATGTTATATATTTCTCATTAATTAAGCTGAGTAATAAAGGTATATAATTATTTCTCTTTAAAGAATTTTAAAAGCTGTATTAGCTAATTGGATAACTATTGA